CCGTCTGTGGACCTATTTTCTGTCGAATGGGAACGCGAATTTGAATCCGTGAACCATTCATTTTCCATCTTCAGTTCGTGTTCCCATCGAAGATGGTTGAACAGACGCGAAAGTTCGAGTCACATTGTGCTGTACAGGCAAGACTGTGAACGGTGTTCAATCGATAACATCGTAACGACTCGGTATACCTAGGCGAAGCTTCAGCTTCGTCTATTCCCTCGAAATTGCAGTACAAACTCATGAATTCTTCAGCAAACATTATTTCCGCAAACATTACGTGCTACGTCACCTGAAATCACCCATACATATTTTCGTGTGTGTGCACCGAGGTTGTCCGAAATCGCATAACCGAAAACAGCTTCCTGCCCTGACGCATTGTGGGTAAACATGAACTTTGGACACTTGCGTTGGTACTCATGATAATGTAACGTTATCTTTGTCAAGATCGATTTAATTAAATCTGCGTTCGCAAAATTAATTTCTCCTGTGTACACTCGAAACTAAAAGTTTATCTGACCCGCCATTGCGAAAATTATCGTGAATGTACTGATATCTCTTTCAAGTTCGGTACTTGAGATAAGATGACAGATATCCTATTGTTATCAAGGTTTCCACTTTTTCCAAAAATATTGCTCAACTTTGTAACGATTGCATCACTTTTTCTATCAACAACTAGTTTCAACTAGCATTCGAATCATTCTAGCACCGACTAAGTATCGACAAATTTCTGATTCCAATCATAACCTATATATCCGATTTTACATTATATACATCGAAGCGTATCGAATATCGTAACAATATATTTACACGGATATGCAGTTTTGAAATCAAGTGATATCACTGAAAATTCAATGCAAATAAGGTTACAAAGAAGCTGCGCGAAATTAAGTTTTCCTATCGAAGAGAACGACGTTTCACGCACACCTAATCTAACACGATCCCACTGTCGCGCTCGCCTTATGCTCTGGATATGTTTACCTCTGTAGTAGTTTCGTAGTAATCAACGACAGGCTGCGAAAGCGAACTGCCAAGGGGCCATCGATTTGTCAAGCTTTGCTGGGCGATTTGGCAGGCTGTCACAGAAGCATCGCGCGACGTTCCAGACGATTGGCCGTATGTACTATACAGCCGGTCGGTGACCGCTATTGATTATCGCACGCTGCCACTGACATTCGGTGGGAAATAATACGAGCAGCTATTAGAACTAACCAGGCCATGCAGCGTGAATTTCCGGATTTCCGAGGTACCTAACCCCGTCGGTCAATCGCGCACTCGAATCCATCGATCGCTTATCGACCGAGCCATCTAGAGGTCGACAGTGTCGATTTTTATCGCTCGCTCCAATCATGGCGTCCCTGTGGCAAGCGTGCCACTAGCACAAGCGTGAAACTGGCACGCACAAAAATATTACTGGTACCAAAATGAATTACTATGATAACTGTAATAATTATAATTCAATTTCCAATTAAACAATTTGCCTTTCCGAAGCCATAATATTTTTGAACAGTATGAGCTGAGGAATTATCTTCAGGGATACTAGCACATACGATACTAGTACATAGTTTGTTTTTTAATTATGATTATTACAAGCGAAAATAAAGTTAGAAACAGGTGGTAAACTATTCACCAAAGAGACTCTTAATAATAAAAGCTGCTAATAGTGGTTTATTGTATTTTATAATGGCTGCTTTGAGGTCGATGTAACGTTAACTTAAAGCAAAATTCGTTCCTGATGAGGTTAAAAATATCTGAAATGATAGATTGCTTGATATGATAGAAGGGTAATATGTATCGCTCCTCTGTCTATAGTCTTAGGGTTAACGAGAGTGTCACTCTCATAACTTATGCTTTTCTATTGTGAATTCGAAGAAATACGAGATTGGAATTGCGATAGTACAGTTTCGCGAAGGAGGCTAGCAATAGGGTGAACTATTTTCGAGATCCCATGCTGCAGTCGGAACTCGAAGACGAAGTGAATTGGAAAGGAGTCTTTGGTTCTATCGATTGGATCTACGCTATTGTGTTGCAGTTGGTAGCAATATATGAAGCGTTCAGAATGTCGGTGTTTATGGTTTGAATATCGTAATTGGTCGTGTGACTGTAGAAAGTAACATAACTGGAATTTTAAATGTCATAAAGTGAAATTTCTGCAGTGATACGTGAACACATTATCGTCAAATGTCATTGTTATTACTGCACACCGTAGATACACATATGTCGATGAAAATGAAAATGTTCCGATCCGAAATTTTTGAAATGCATAAAATGAAAATAGTTAATTATGATGAAGGTATAAATTCGATCTAATTATCTTAATCAAAAACAATTTTATTTTATTCCAAGGTAAAAGTGAATAATGCCTTCTTAATTTTTCACTTAAATCACCTGTATAATTATTGGCACGTATGCACTCCTTCTAACAGCTTTTCTTCCAATTCTTTGAAACCGAAAATTATTTTCATACTTGCATTTGAATTAAAATTTATTGATTCGTGTACCTCCTCCTTCACTGAATTCTTTATTTAATATTTATCTCGGTATTGAATTTTTTGCAGATAGTAGTTATAAAAAACGAACTAAATTTAGAAAACAATCTGTCAGTGACCTGGATAATGTAACGCGATTAACTCAGTCCTTCGATGAAACATTCTAATCCCAATTCGATAATTCGACCCATCAATTTGCTTTATCCTCATAAGGTAAACCCAAATACGAAAATGGATGTGCACTGGATCTGAATATTGCCGATGTCCAGGAATCTTGGTATACTAAAGGATACTTGAGCTTCCCTATAAGTAATTCAAGAACAATGATTCCTCCGAGAACGTAACCTCAACGAAAATACCTCTACGTTCAGATTAATATATTCGCAAGGAAAACGTCTTAATCTCTATTTTCATTTCCTGCCTCGTCCATCGATCGTCTTACGTCAGAAAAAGCAGCCAAATAGGACAAGACAATGCCTTGCATATCCACAATTTACTGGATATACTTTAGTGTAATAATTAATCATTGCATACCAATTACACCAGAGCTTGAAACGCAGAGCTTCTGACCCTAATGTATTCAAAGACGTCTGTTCTCATAAAAGTTACTTTTACCTTTAATTAATTCTCCTAACGTGCAAGATAAGACCCTCAAACATCATCTAACATTCCACGGCAATTTAATACTTTGTACAATTTAAAAAATAAAATTAGTTCGTTCAGAATACTCTACGTATAGAAACAAGTTGAAAGGCAAGAACAGAATTTTTTCATATGGGGCCCCGTCTTCGAGAAAATTGCGCTTGAAAATTCGTGGGAGTGCACGTAAATTTAATCGCAATTTTACTTCGTTAGCTATTTTTTGCGTTATTCTATAATTCAATCCACTTAATGCAAGTGTAAAGTATTATAAACATTTATGAAAATGAACAGATACGAGCTGTAGTGAAATTCACGGCGTCGAATCTCAATCAAAAGCGCGCATACCCCACGAATTTTCAATCTCGATTTTCTCGATAACGAAGACTCAAACGAAAAAATTGTATTCTTCCTTTCCCACTTATTTTTACGCGTACAATCATTTTCTGCTTTTCTGTACCACCAGGCACCATGTATACGTATATGCATATTCGTTTCTATCTCATGTATTTATCAAATATAAGACCGTCGGACACACGTCACTGAGATTCACGCTCAAAAATAAAATTGGTCCCTTTATCGTGCAATTCACGTGCTCAACTAACTGCCTGGTGACTTACGCAAAAATACGAATCGACTTGAAATGCACAGCTATAAGCTGGAATGACAATACGAGCACCGGCCAAGGCAAAATCGCCGGAGATTAGAAGCACTCAACATGTAACGATTGGAATTTTTATTTGTTTCTCCTTTTTGCCTGCTCTTTATCGCAGGGTTGGGCGGTTCGAGTAATTCGTCGCTGGCTGCCTCGTCAGCGAAATTACGGTCGCATTCAGGCCGCCATGACGAACAGCCCGGTGGAACGAGAGATCCGACGACTCCGTGCTGATTTGTTTCTTTCTCTATTTCTCTTTTTCCATTTTTCCTTTCTTTTATTTTTCTATTTTTTTTTAATTTCTCCGTCCATCGAGAAACATCGTTCGAACCTGCCGTAAACGAGCAGATATTAAGTCCTCGATCCGACCAGTGACATTCGGATCGGGACACGCGTGACGCGAGTTTCTATGACTTTGGGGATGCAGAAACAACGACGTTCCCGTTTGCATTCGACCAACATTCATAGACGCGAACAACGAAAATTGTAATATGGAAAAACCCTACTCTGGGGAATATATGACCACCAGAAATTTTAAATAGGCTGCACAAGGGTTGTCGGAGAAATACACTAACTGGCGAAAGTGTTCGAACGCTACATTTCAAAAAAGAATTGTCTAACCTGATTATTCTGATTTTAATGAAAGATCATACAAGGGTGAAGCTGGAAAATGATTCTGATGGGGTGAAATGAACGATTAACGTTTTAACAATTTTCAACGGCCAATTTTCAATAAGGAGAAATTTTTACCACAGAGTGACAGGGAACTAAAGATTAAACATATTTGGTCCAAAGGTCCCAATACTCAAAAGAGCATCAACTTGCATTATACCCAAAATAGAGTACCCAAGATTCTCCATGCATTCGCGAGGTGAAAAATTTCTCGTCGAATGGAAATCGAATTAGACTAAAACGCTGCTACCCCAAAAGCCAGCTACCTAACTAAAGCAATCAAAACATTCTCCACCCCTAATCCCTGAAAAGTAGCAATTACTCCCTCCTGGCCCCGTCATCGATCGGAGGAACACCTAACAGTAAGTGGGAACTGTGGGTCACTCCTGACCCACATAGCAGCAAACCTGTTCAAATGTAAAGCACCTAGGTCAGCGTTCGAGCGACTAGAACAAGCGATTCTTCTGCTTCTCTAGTTGAGAATGGTCACATTCGGAGCTCCTGGTCCCACGACGAAGGTCGAGGCTAATTCAACGAATGATTTTCAGACGTAAACGCGAGCATGTTCTACGATGAGCTTGGCCAGGAGCTAATTTTCACCCCTTGCGTGGGTCTGCTGGAACGAGCGTTCCGTTGCCTCGGGAACGATCTCACGGCCTTCCTCACCACTTTGGACGGCGTGAACGACGTGGTCCAACATCAGGCTGGGTTCGTGGGGGAAGCCGAGTTCGTCTGCATCGCAACGCCGAAAGAGATCGAGCTCCATTTCACCACTGATCGCCCGTTTGTGGCCTATCTGATGGTAGGCAGTCTGAAGGGCATTGCTAGACGGTTCTACGACGACGATGCGAACGTGTACGTTCTGCGTGATCCCTACAACTCGAAATTTTTTAGGTGAGTTCCTTCCCATGCATTCTGGCTAATTTATTTCGCATTTTGAAAATTTTTGAAAGATTCGATGATGATTTTGGTTTCGAATATCCCGGTTTGGAAACCAGCGCCTGTACGAGATATAAAGGAAAATTTTATTGGCTATAGTTTAATCTTTGTTCTTTGTTTTACTGCAGTGGTTCTACTGAGAAAACACTGAAAATACTGTTCAACAAATTTGAACATTTTCTCTAATCTGTAATATCAATTAGGTGATTGACGTAGAGATTGCTTTCCTGAGCACGAAAGCGTAATCCAATTTGCTTGCCTGAGCAGTATTTGGCTCAAATGAAGTACCACGCGAAAAGTAAAAATGACAGATGACTCATTCTCACTTTAAAAGTTAGGTTGGAGTTCTTCGAGTTTCTCGATGTACATAATTATAATCGAATTTGTAATCTCTGCAAAATAACGTTACAAATTTTAGACCCTAATTTCCTCTTTTTATCGATTATATTTCCAAATGTCTCGAAGAAGCTTTCAATGGAAGTTGATGCTGGTAAGACGAAATACATTTTTTCTAATTTTAAATTCCGAAAATTTGGAACTTTGTACACCTATTTTTATACTCTCTGATAATTTTCCATTTCCATTTGATTAAAAATTGAACGAAAGAAAGCTCATGAAAGCTTGGACGAAAGAAAGGATATCTGTTTATTAGCCTTTCCGCGTTCAATTACAAGCTATGCTGATGAAACCAGCCGTGTGTTTTAATATGAAAATATTAATAAAGTTCCATTGCATGGTATATAGGAACGCGTGCAAAGGGGTTGAAATTTAATCTGAAAAAGTGGTTTAATTACTTTCTATCCCTCCTCGATATACCATTCCGGATCCAAATGGGAAACGCGTATTCGAAATCTGGTTCGTGCACAGCCACTTGCGATTTATTGATCGGTGGAACACTTGAAACTGAATAATACGCATCGATGTAGCCCTGTGCCACGTTGAAAAGAACAATATTTAGTATTTGCACGTTCGATCAGCGAGATGGTGTACGTATTGACATCGTATCGTTCAATTTACACGGATGCCGAAAGAGTCCTAGGAATCACGCCACTATGAAGTGGACAAATATTGGTCGCCGATGTTTGCAGACATTTGAACCGGGAACACGCGAACGGCTTTCCGATTTCAGGAACTTCATTACACATTCGTCCAGTGAGAAGGAACTCGTTAAACCGTGAATCCGATCTTACTTTTCTTTAATCCAATATTATCGTTTAAAGCATCGCTCTGATAGGAAGTCGGTAATTAGAGTTACGTTTAATTGAGCCTCTTTACTGGCAGATCTTTTTGCTGAATGAAGAAAATTGAAAGAGGAATTTGGGTCTGAAGAAGTGTGGAAAGAATTAGAAGCGAGTTAATTATTCTTATGTAATCTGCTACAATTTGCAAGGAGGAATCCAAAATCTGCAATTTAAAGTCTGAAATGTAGATTCTTATGTGTAGAGTCTAAAACGGTTAATACAAGATATTTACAAAGATAATAATTTGATGTTTGAAATCTGAAATCTCAAAGCGAAAACTCAAAGTTCAAATTTCTTGAGGTTTGAAGTCGACAATCTGAGAAATCTGAAAAGACTAGAAAGCCTGGAATGTCTGAAATCTGAAGCTCGTTTAATATTTAAATTACACAAAACGATAGCGTTCAGATTAATTACAGATATATGTAACTATTCAATTGCCCAAACAATGTATAAAATATCAGAAATGATATAATTTATAACCAAACGCGAAACGCGATTTTGTTAATTCTATTGTTCCCACTGAAGCACCATGTATCCCATTGTAACGTGGAACGAACTGTTTCGCAGGTATTACATCACACCAAAACGCTATAGCGAGCACTTTGTCGATCCAGAAATCGATGGTAATCTCGACACAGTCGCGTCCTTGTTCCGTCCACTGTCAACCAAGGCCACGGATCTCAGCATGGGGGTGGCGAGCTTCTGCAAAGCCTTCCCATGGCACTTCGTGGTCGACCGGCAATTAGAGCTGGTGCAGCTGGGGGTCGGATTCATGAGGATTTTCGGGCATCATCTGAACCGATTGGGCAGAGAAATATCGACGTACTTCGCATTTACACGGCCACGCGGCGTCACTCTGACCTTTCACGAGATACTGAAGCGCGCGAACACACCTTTTGTGCTCACCCTCCAGAGACCTCAAGGCGTCGATAAATATCCCGCGGAGGTATACATGAATACGTTATTCGTATGGAAATAAGCAACACTTATTTCTACACTCTCACACGACAGACACGCGTTTTTCCATCTCTCTGTTGTTGCACGGACACTTCGGTAAGGACTAAACTGTCTCTGACAATTTGCATCTCTAATGCTAAACCTACCACAATTAAATTATCGTTCAGTGGGAAAAAAGTAGAATCTTTAAAAAATGAAATAACGTCACAAGTTAAATTCAATAACTGATTATACGTATATTGGAAGGAGAATCAGGAAGATAACGTTGTACACAGGATATTCAATGAAGGTTTTAAAGACAGTCACTTAGGCCAGGGGTAATAACTTTAATGATTCGTGGAACAGACAATTGTAGCAACTAACCTTTACGAAGACTGAGGAGAACTTAATTGGGGTAAAAATTGTGTTAGGCTATGTTAGGTTATGTCAGGTTATAGGTATTTATAAAACCCTAGTTTGTTATGCTCGAGCACTATATGTGTACGTATATGTGTACATCACATTTGTTGGAGTTCTCAAAATTTTGCTGCTAATGTAATGTCAATCATTCCAGGGTTTAGAGATGAAGGGTCAGATGGTCCATTGTCCTGAATCGGATTCCATCCTATTCGTGAGCTCACCATTCCTGAACGGCTTGGAAGGATTAACCGGCCGAGGACTTTTTATTGACGCCACGAGAGACGTCATCTTGGTGGGGGAACAGGCCAGGGCACAGGTACAATAAAATTTACATTTTATCCCGATACCGTTACATTTGTATCAATGGAATTTATACGAACGATAATATTATACGTTCCATTAAACGCTGCATTAAGTTGAGAGAAAACCAAAAATGATTTCCAACATGTGACTTCGTTTCTATAATTTCTTGAGTTAGTAATTGAGATTTTCAAAAGGAGGAATCATGTTCGTGTAGTATACGTGTTTAAAGAATGGACGGTCGAAAGAATCCTTATTTTGCGGGACAGATGGCAGCAGTGTACGATTGTTGAGTTCTAGATGGCGCCACCGTTCAGAGCAACGGACGGAGCCGCTCGGTGTCGATAAAGTCGCGCGCTCGTTGCAACAGAATAAATTATAAATCGCGCTTTTAAATTCCTTTTCCTTTTAAAAAATTGTATTAACCTTACGAAAGACAATTGGAAAATGAAAATAATTTTCCATGACTCAGGATGGTCTGAGGAGACGGATGGATAAGTTGAAAAGCTCCATAGAAAAGGCAAATCTAGCTGTATCTGCGGAGAGAGAAAAGAATGTGAGCTTGCTTCATCTTATATTCCCTCCAGATATAGCGAAACGTTTGTGGTTGGGTAAATAGTCGACACCTTTCTTTTCTTAAATTACTCGTTTCGAATTTTTATTTCATTTAAGTTCGTTCAATTCAAAATTTTCGTATTTCAGGAGAAACGATCGAGGCAAAAACTTATCCAGAGGTGACAATGCTTTTCAGCGATATCGTGGGATTCACGGAAATTTGTTCCACCGCGACACCGATGATGGTTATCAACATGCTTCAAAATCTTTATGAACAGTTTGACTCGTTTTGTGGTCAGTTAGACGTTTACAAGGTGCGAATTTCCCTTATTTCTTATTCGCAATAATTCTTGCGCAGTAAATTATTAAATTGCATGTCTGATACATTTATTCATTTTTAAGTAGAGCACTGAAATTATCGCATAAAGTAGGTTACGAATTTTCTTATTGGATAAAATCGAAATTTCAGGTGGAAACAATTGGAGATGCCTATTGCGTTGCGTGTGGCCTCCATCGTAACACCTTCATACATGCACAAAAAATATCCTGGATGGCTCTAAAAATGATACAAGCATGTTCGCATCATTTGACTCATAAGGGTAAACCAATAAGGGTAAGAAAATATTTTTACTCGTGTGAATTAGACAAAATCTCCTTCGAAAAGTTATTTAACAAATTTTACGTTGGCTAAAATTGTTTTATTTTCATTATTTACTTTTCAGTTCGATTAATTCCCGATAATTTAAACGATAAGCTTAATTAAATGATACAAGAGGTAGCAAAAATGTTGCAAGTTATACGTACGCTTTAAGGAAATGATATTCAATTGTTTATTATTCCTATCAGTAAGACTATTAAAACTTTTCCCATTTAAAAGTATTCCTTCCTCGCGATAGCAGAAAGGGCGATAAGTACGCTGAATGCGGTTGTATTAACTTTTAAAGTAGGTTACACCTCGTGGATTTAATGCGATCCCGAGACCGCGACTTATTGCAGTTTATAATTTGTCACTTGATATAAATTTATGTCAGCGTTATTAAATATTGTATTACCGATCCACTTGTCGCATTCATATTTCATCACAATACCAATATTTTTAACTCCAACATCTGTAGTTTTAATACGAGTATAAAGTTATTTTAAATCGTCAAAGCAATTTCGTAATTTCTGCTTCGGCTATTCGTGAGATAATTACTTTAAGATAACGTTACCAGTGACTTTATACAAATTAGTACAAATTGTACGTATAACCTGTAATTGTAAAATATAAATTCCAGTAAATACAAATTTTAATGATTCTGCGTAGGAAAATATTAACGAAATAATTATTTTTAGATGCGTATTGGCATTCACACTGGAATGGTACTAGCAGGGGTAGTTGGCAAGAAGATGCCAAGGTATTGTCTCTTTGGGCACAATGTCACCTTAGCCAATAAATTCGAATCCCTGAGCGAACCACTTCGTGTACATGTTAGTCCAACGACATATGTGTAAGTAATACCTACACACAGTGTATGTATATTCGGTAATGCAGCGAGTCCGTGTAATTCGGTTGCTTGAAATTCTCGTTTCGTAAACGGAGACTCGACTTCTGAATTTTAATCCAACAAACGAAATCCATTTTTTTTCTTTTCTCTCTCTCTCTCCCCCCCCCCCTCTCTCTCCCCCCCCCTCTCTCTCTCTCTCTCTCTCTCTCTCTCTCTCTCTCTCTCTCTCTCTGTTACTTAAACTCTTGTATTCTTAGACCATCGAATAAAAGATCTATAAGTACCGTTTTTATTATCCGGTTTGAACCTCTCGGTAGACAAAGGAACACGAAACGTTGACTCGCTGTGGTATTTATATTCTTCCAGCGAATTTCGTTTCCAAATTTTACTCACATTGTTGTCTGTTTATGGCAGCCTATTGAAATATCCCGTATCAGGATTTGACCTGGAACCACGGCAAAAAGAGTTCCTGCCGAAAGAGTTCCCGGGTAACATAGAAGGGACGTCTTACTTCCTAAACGGCTACAAGCACAAGCACGTGGACCCTGCTCTCCCGTTGGATCTGCATATACAGAGCGCGATTAGGGAGCACGGGCTCGGCAGCAGAGTGTAGATACATACCTAAATAATAAAGACCATCCCAACGAATATGCGTCGTTCGTGAATGTCGCTGTACCAATACTACTCTGTCCGTAATAATAACACTTTCTCGGTAAACAATCGTTTCCAATGAGCTCGCGAATGCGCGGCAACGTGTAACGACGCTGATTCTAACCAGCCTAAACGGCCGATTCCTGGCTCGATAATATTTATACGCAGAGTTTTAGGTTACAATTATTATATACTTATGACCATATGAGCAAATAAAACTGTACGATAAATCTCCATGCACGAGTAATTTATTTGCCATCGACAATACGCCATACATTTTTCATTAATTTATTAGTAATTAAAAATCACTCGAAACCGAACGTCCAAACAGAAAATATTTTAAGATCTTCCTTACAGCATATTAAAAATTATATTATATCGTGTTGATCCTGTTTGTTTTTCTGAAAATATTTTAATTATTAAAAATTATATTATTTTCCTTCTCGTATTAATTGCTTGTAGTTCTGACAATATTTTAAATTCCTTCTTTCTCCTTCTTCTAAATTATAACTTATTAAGAATTATATTATTTCGTGATAACTCTATTGAGAACTTTTACATATTTCGTATTATTTATTTGTTGTATCTCTTTCAACTTTGAGTGGCTATTGTCAGATAAATGTTGCTAATTTGGGTTGCAATATTCAAGATCGTAAATGGGGACGTTTGAAATTCCACGAATTTCATAGTTTTACGACTGCCACGATACCTCGTGTTCGGTTCACTTACCAAAGAAAAATCTCATTCGATATCTCGCAGCATCGATATCTCGCGATACTTACCGCGAGTCGATACAGCCGCCATTCTTTTCTTCTGTTCCCTACTTACCTCTGTCCCTTTGAAGCCGGTTGCTTTTATTTTTGATAAGACTTGTTCCAGATTCCCAAGCAACACAACGGTCTTTGTTCCTGCGAATAATAGAACTATTTGTATTCTTTGCCGGAGCAGCCGGTTATCGTTATGCTGTCCGGCTTTTTCTTCTTTCCAGCGGTCTGAAACGAAGCTCCATCGGTGCACCATCGTCGCGACATTACTTATTTACCGTGAAACGTTACGTTCCGCTTTTCTGCACGGCCATCACCGAGTTTCCCTCGATTTCTACCGTTTAGTCCTGACATCGCCGTTTCATTCGTACGAATCTCAATTTGGCAGGGAAAAGAATCGCAAGAAGGTAAAGGAGGACGAGTGGAGCGGCCATATTTAACAGGACCGAGATTAAAAAGCTACGAACGTCATACTATAATTTTTTCCATGGGTAGAATTTTATATTTGAGAATTACAAATATTTCTTTAACTTCGACAAGATTTTTCATTCACCGACAAAATTTTCTTGCTTATTTTTTAACAAGGGATATTATCGATAGGTACATTTTAATAATGTTCCCCCTATCTTGGATAAATATTCTTCCATGCAAGGGTATTTAATGTGCCGCGTTTACAATTCTTCGAGCATTGCGTTTACTTTCATGTATCAATTTAATTCGAAAGTCATCGCGAAATTAGATGTGCAAATAATTGCGCTTCTATCGAACAGCCGCAGTTTCTCCAGTTTGTTCCAAGGTATATTGATGTATTCCATTTGAATTGGCATTCTCAGAATACGTCATGAATCGAATTTACCTCCCATTTCCGAGAGTAATTGTAATTCGTTGATGTTCATTGGTGTATCGAACGTTCGGATAAACGAGATAGGATTAATCGCGTTAGGAATTAAAATGCAGATACCGGGTAATCGTGAATAAAGCGAACGATGAATATGTAAAGGGGTAATAACGTGTAATACCCCGAAATAATGCCGCGGGGATTTTTTTCAGAATTTGCTGGAAATTCAATTTTCGTTTCAATCTGAACACGTTGTGGAAGTTTGGAACATAGTGCCGGCGTAATCACGTTGTAAAGGAGTAGTTACTTTTTCTCTCTTTTATTCCACTCACGTGTTACGAATGCAGCATTGAACTTCTAACGCGGAACGTCGCCACGAGTTCCAGTGTTACGAGAGCCGCCATTAACTATACATACGGTGGTCACGCTGTTCAGAAGGTTTTCCTAACTCGTTACAAAATTCAGCAATTTCGTAACTCATTACGAAATCCTGTAATTCGTCACGAAGTTCTGAAATTGGAGAAAAGACACTTCGACGTTTAAAAATTTCGGAATCCTGAAATTTGGAAAAGTTATTTGAAACTAGCTTCGGTATAATTATATTCAAGGCTCACTACACTTGCAGAAACCAGATAATTCGAGATGCGACATCTAGAAATTCTGGAGACCCATATCAATTAACATATACTTTAAATTACATTTCAGAAATAAAATATTTATTCTATTGGTCCATTTATTATTTTCCCTACTTACATTTATTTCATTGATCCACTGATATAACGCATGGATTTCGACGCATTTATTGCTAGAATAAAATTAAAAATGAAGAAAATAATGTGATTCTACCAGTTAATTTAAATACAACCTCAGTAATAACCGTATTAAAAAATATCGTCGACTTCGTATCAGAAAATATTCGACCTTCTATTTCTCTGTAACGAATAAAATCACCGAGGATTGAGGGGTTTATAGATCGATAGGACCAAGCTTCAACCAAAGCCGCGAAATCATGGAATTGCAGGATATAATAATTTTCGTGACGTAGGAAGTAGCCGATTCGTGGAAGGACCTGCGTTGAGATTTGCGCCGAGTCTCGAGTTATTTTACCGGTGTCCACAAAAGAAACCGGTGAAATAGCGTAAAACCAAAAAGCCGGCAAGAAAGAGGACACAAAAGAAGCGGCACTGTCCTCGCTGGTGTATCTGGTCGCGTGCTTTTTCGCGTGCCCCGCCTGTGTAAACGTACCTTTACTATTTCTTATGCTGCCATTCATCGCAACGAGACCCGCGGCCGTGCAAAGAGAAAGAAATTAAACATTGGGCCTCGCGGCTACGCCCCGTAATCAAACGCCTGTGAAACTAACGAAGCAGCCCGCGGAATAGGACAGGCAGAGCCTGATATCAAAATACAAGAAACGAGCCGGAAATAGGGTGTGGAAGGGAGAAGTATGCGGTAGTAGGCATAGGGGAATAATAACTTAGATGACGTGCAACGAGAAGTGCACGTATAGAATAAAACGAAAAACGTGACAGGTTGGAAGAGGATGAAAAGGAACGTCTCAGCGTGTCCGCCATGTTGAGCATCGTGACCGTTCAGTAACGTCTCTTTGCTTCGAGTATGGCTATAGTCGAACGAAATTACACCTAATGGTAGAAAATGATGGAGGGGACATGGTTGAATCATGGTCGTATTGATGAACATTTATAGAAGAAAAGCAGCTGAAGGACGGTAGACACTATGGTTAGACACTATGGAGGCCGTTGAAAGGAAAATTACTCGGATTACGATGATCGAGAAGCCAATTTGAGCAATCTCCCTCTCCAGGCTTCGTGCTTTGACAATGGAAATATTTTACAGGCCATTTTAAGGCCGACTTACGCTGTCGCATGAGACACGTCTGGACGTATGTCCATTGGAGGTATGGATTATAGTGAAGCTAATGAGTTCAGTGGAAAGTGAGTGCTCGTTTTTTAGTACCTTTTATCATCAACCGGTATGTACAGAAAACTTATACACCGACGTAATTCTCAGGCTTCCTTGACATACTCATCACTGTTAGAAAGACGATATATGTAGGATCGTTTAGGGTTCGAGAGCGGGTGCACGGGAACACTCGGGCCTTCCTTCAAGGTAAGGGATAATGAACAGCGGCCTGGAGTTTCGCTTGAGCGATCAGGGTGATATTTGGAGTGCGTGCGGAGGGAAAAATGACAGCAGGGATAGTATTGTCGGGATATTTATGACTGTATCGAGTACGAGCAGCGAGCGAAAGTTTAGGAATACGTCTGAGTGTTTGAAGTACTTGGCCCAGTGAGAGCAAGGTCATGTGGGAAATGAGTGATAGAGAAAGGAAGCTTGAGTATGAAAGAGGAGAGATTGGTAGGTTCAAATAAGGTTGCAAAGGCGCGCGCGAGTCAGTTTTGAGGCAGTTTGTATGAAGAGTATATGGCGAGTGTACGTGCAATGTGTTTGCAGAGAGTTAATGTCGGTCGGTCGCGTAATCATAGATCAATTATTAGTTTAATCTTTTAGCTATACATTCCTCTTAGCCTCGTTTATCTCGTAATAAGTATATATATTTGGAAAATGATGCACTAAATTTGATTTCGAATAATAATAGCCAAAATAATAGCTTTCCGATAGTCTAAGGGTTAACACAGTGTCTCTCAACTATTTTAGATCAGCGACACGTTCCGAAACCAGTTAGGTCTCTGCGGCACACCATATTTATTAGAAATTATAACACATTTTATCATTTATGTGATTAATAATTTGCTCGAGACAGTGATCGGTTCGTGCACGAATCATGTTTCCCAAAATTCCGAATATTTTTATCTCTACAGGAATCTTAATAGAATTCTAGCACACGTCGATCGAAAAATACCGGTTTAAGCTGGAAAAAGTTACAGATTCAAGATTACGATGTCTATCCTACATTTAATCGGTGGATTGGTGATACTAAATGGAGATTAAGCTTCGTCGAAATAGTGGTCGTTGAAGAGGACCGCGAGCCAGCGATAATTTCTTTCTTCTGGTACCTGATTCGTAATTCGATAAGTATATTCCATGCGCGGGGTTCACGTTATCTCCGCTTTACACTCGAAATATACAATATTCCATTTCAATGAGTGCATTGTTGGTGAGCCAGTGAGCTCCTTGCAATAGATTGCTTGCTGTGGGCTAATGCACCGAAGTAATCGATTTGCGAGCACTTCTGTGCATTTCGAGAATCATTAGACGTGTATGGCAGACTATTAATTAGGAAACGCAACTGGGCACGCCAGTATCGTGTACGAAATTTCAAAATTTCCAGATCCTGCTTTAATTGGAATCGCGGCCAGTGTCGGCGGATCAGTCAACTGCGATGGAAATGCGAAAACTCGTGGAAATGTCTGCCGAATGGAACGTAATCTTCGCTAAGGCAAGTATGAATTCCGCGCGATATTCCGTGGAACTAAATGTCATTCTAGTGCGTTACGTTTCCTTAAATCAACGACGAATTTACGCGCTTCCAGGTTTAATTCATAGCAACGAAAAG